AAAAACTGCAAGCAGTGGACCAATTTACATACCTTGGAAGCACCCTCTCTCACGCAGTGACAATCGACATCGAGGTCAACTGCAGAATCGCCAAGGCAAGCTCTGCATTCGGTGGACTGCTGACCAAAGTGTGGGACCGCTGTGGAATAAGCTTTGCTGCATAGCTTAAAGTCTGTGGAGCAGTGGTGCTAACTACCCTGTTGTATGCCAGTGAGACTTGAACTGTATACAGGAGGCATGCTAGGCAACTGAACCACCTCCACATGACTTGCCTCTGCAGACTTTTGAGGATCTGGTGGCAGAACAAGGTGCCAGACACAGAAGTCCTCTCCAGAGCAAGCCTGCTGTCAGTTCACACCCTGCTGATGAAAGCCCAGACACACTGGGCCATGTTGCAAGGATGCCAGACCATTGCATCCCCAAACAGCTCTTCTATGGTGAGCTGTCTCAAGGAAAACAATCGCACAGGGGACAAAAGAAGCAATACAAGGACATTCTGAAAGCTTCTCTCAAGTCCCTGGATATCGACATCACCTCCTAGGAGACCCTGGCACAAGATCAATCGACATGGCACACACTGCTCCACCAAGGCTGTTAAACATCTGAAGCCAGAAGGACAACCATAGCACAAGAGAAATGAGCACTCTGTAAAGCCAGAGTTGCAAATGTTGCAACAGTGGTGCCCAAACATGTCTGCCTGACATGTGGCAGAACATTCTGTGCCTGTATTGGCCTTATCAGCCACCTGCAGACACACCGTGAACAGCCCACAACTCGTTAGATGTCAAGGTCCTATTCGAAAACGATGGACGAACATCATCAAGTTTGCAACTTTTAGGCCCTGCAAGAGGTTTTCTCTGTGTACATACACAGCTTAGGGGCCTGTCTTCAATTGAATGCTTTTTTTACATTTTTAATCAGGCCTCTTTCTGCCTTTCAGGGTCAACAAGTCCACTGTTGATTCAACCACCCTATATTTCAGCTCTCTGCTCCTTAGGGTGCTTTCATGGTACTAGCCCCCTGCCTCAGTCACAGAATTTTACAAAGCGAGGGGATTCTCAGGCCACATCTCCTTACAGATATAACCCTGCTGTCATGTTTCCCCATCATTTTCCTTACCAGGGGAGAAAAAAATCTTAAGGAAGGAAAGGCAAATGGCTGCTGAATATCTTTCAATTGTTAGCCCCAGGAGCCTTCCTTCTGGAATCATACTTAGCATCCTGACCTCTTGGATGTTTCCTCAGAAGGCTCCTCTCCTCTCCATCCAGCTATCTTCCAGCACTCTGCTTCCTCTGAGAGACAACATTTCAGTTCCAGGTGTCAGTCAAACTGATTATTCTCTACCTTCCCCAACCCTTTAGAATGCTTGTGAACATTTCTCTATCCTGATTTGTGCTGTGAAGAAGTTTTCCCATAGTTCATACTGTTACATGTTGGAGTTTTGTTCAGTAAGCAACTTGTGTCACTTCCCATATTTGAGCCATCGGATCCTCCAGGAAATAAACACTGAATACTCTCTGTATAGTATTCATGGCCCTTGTAGATTAGGCTGACACAGAAAACCTAATTCAGTCCCACTAATACATGTCACAAAAGGATCCCTCAGTGAGTCACCTCAGAATGAGTGGTTCCCCCCCCCCCCCGCCCCACCAGCACCACTTTGTGTGTTCTGGGATGTTAGTGTTCCAGCAGAGGGATGATACCTCTAGTCAGACAGCCATAGAAGGTTCTCTCCAGATATTGAGGAGTACAACTCTCAGGATTTCTGATGATTGGCTGATGGGAGTTGACATCTACAACATCTGGAGGGCACCAGGTTATAGAAGGTGGCAACAGACTCATGGTGATTGGGAAACAACCTGCAATGAAGAGTCTGAACTCAGCTTCTTTAGGGTTCCTGTGTCTTGGCAGGGACAGCTGTTAATAGCACTAGCCATAGTTAGCTGAGAAACTTGCAAGGGAACAGGGGAACACCCATGCAAGAAGGATGGAGTTCCTCAGGGGTCAGTCTTGTCTGCCATAGTAGTCAACATCTACACAAAACTGCTCAGTGGGGTCATCCAGAGTTTTGGAACAGATTGCCCTCAATAAATTGGTGCCACACAGCCTTGTCTCTCCTGTTCCTCTTCAGCAGTTGAGTCTGTCGATGTGCTAACTCTGTGACAATGGACTGGATAAGAGCTAATGAACTGAAGCTCATTCTGGACAAGACTGAGATGCTATTGGTAGGTGGTTCCTCTGACTGGATGGAGAGTGTTCAACCTGATCTGGATGGGGTTACACTCCCTTTAAAGGAGTAGGTTCATAGCTTGGGCGTGTTTTTTTATTCATCTTTGTCACTTGAGGTGCAGGTGACCTCAGTGGCACAGAGTTTGTTCCATTATCTTCGGCTGGTGCAACTATGCCTTTGTACAGGGATGTTGTCCATGGGGTTGCGATGGGTCGGACACGACTTCGCGACTAACAACAACAACAAGTCTGGCTTCAGTAATCCATGAACTAGAAATCTCTAAAATAGATTTCTGCAATGGACTGTAATTGGGACTGCCTGTGAAGGCAATTCAGAAACTACAGTTTATACACAATGCGGCATCCAGACTAATAACTGGGATCAGATGGTCTGAACATGTAACACCTGGCCTGCTTATGATAGCTGCCAATATACTTCTGAGCAAAATGCAAGGTGCTGAGTTTAACTTGTAAAACCCTCCATTAATTGGGATCACAGTACCTGACAGAACAACTCTTCCAGCAACAATGTGTGTGGACACTGAGGTCCACATCTGAGGTGCTCTCTGAATGCTCCTGTAAGGGAGGCTCAGATGGTGGCAGCACCTTCCCTACAGTAGCCCCCAGATTGTGGAATGATTTCCTTAGTGAGTCCTGCCTGGTGCCAGCTCAGTATCTTTTTGGTGCCATGTTAACATCACCCTTTTAGTTGAGACAGTTACCACGTAGTGCATGGGGTGGGGCATATTGCTAGCTGTTTTTCCTTTTTTTTAGCAGGTCTAGTGGCATGGACTGGTTTAAATTGTTTTGTTGTTAAAATGTGTTTTACATTTTTAATGTTGTGTTGTCACTGTACTGTTTTTATTTTTTATTTTATTGTATTTTTAACTGTTGTTCACCACTTACCAAAAGAGCTTCGGCTACTGGGTAGTATAAAAAGAAACAAATAAACAAGAAGGGGTGCAATCCAGCAATGTCATTCTGATGACAGAAGTGATCCGCAGTTGTGGAACAATTTACTTCAGCACTGGATTACAATTTGATTACTTATAAAGAAAACAACAACTGAGCTCTGCCATATTTAGAAACCGCTATCTTTATAGTGGTAGATATATCTAATTACAGGTTGGAAGTATCATCGTTAATGTTATTTTATAATGATTAATACAGTAAAACAGTGGTTTGAAGGATAGTTTGAATATAGCCATAGACTGCAGTTCTGGTAGTCTCAACACAGAAAAGGTCAGAGTAGCATTTGAGTGACTGGATACACATGAAATAGCAGGCCACACTGTGTAGAAAACAATGCTTTGTAGCTTCTTTGCTGCAGGGCCTGTGATGTGGCTGATGTGGTCAGGCACAGCAGGAGTCCTGAGGTATCTCATCGCCTTCCTCAGTCCACCTCCCAGAATCCAAGGGGCACCACAGTAGTGCTGAGGGGAGCACAGTAGGGACCAGAGCTACCCAATAGTCAGGGCCGTCTTAACAGCATTACGGGCCCCGGGCAAAGCAGTGTACTGGGGCCCCTACGACAACTACAACTACTGCTAATTTTGGAAGTTTTCCAATTTTCCAAGGGTTAACGTACACTGATTAGTATGGGGCCCATGGGCAAGTGCCCATCAGGCCCATGAGTTAAGACGGCCCTGCAAATAGTGCCCAAGCAGCACTTGGGGGTAGCTGTTCCTGCTGCTGCCCCTAGCAGTGAAGGGCCCCTCTACAACCTCCTCTGCCAGGACCACCAGAAGCAATGATGAGCTCCTACCTCCTGTTTCCTGCTGTTTACCATGCAGATTGCCCCAAAGGGTGGTCAGTGCAGTGAGTAGGGTGGAGCTGCATTCCTTTGGTCCTCCTCCAGGTAAACCTAGGAGAATGCACCCCCAATCCCATCTGCCCACCTCCTATACAGACTCAGAGAAAATCACCCAGGAGAACTAGGCATTAAGAACATATCCACTTACTAGCTGAAACTGGGAGAGGGAGGGAATAAATTGGTGTCTGCTGAACATGGTTCCTCATGCTCGTGGGGCCCGAGGAACTGGTGTGCAGTAGACATTGGTGTCACTGCTGCACACTGTATGGGTGGTATGTGTTGGCAGGGAACCTGATGACAGCTGCCCAGAAGTGCCACTAAGCACTTTTTGGGTGACTATCATAGGTTCACCTGGAGCCACAGGGGCACAGGGGTTTGTTTGTTTGTTTGTTTTTCGATTTATATCCTGCCTTTTTCCTCAAAGGGCTCAAGGCAGCTTACATCATTCTCCTCCTCCATCTTATCCTCACAACAACAACCCTGTGAGGTAGGTTGGGCTGAGAGTCTGTGACTGGCCCAAAGTCACCCAGTTGGCTCCATGGCAGAGCGGGGACTAGAACCCAGATCGCCTGAGTCCCAGTCCCATGCTCTTAACCACTACACCACACTGGCTCTCTGGTTTATTTGTAGAGGGACTTGCCTTCTGTCTGACTTCAGATGACAGAAAAAGCCACAGAGGCTTATGCAAACCCTACACCAAGCCATGGCTTGTCAGGGTAGCTTATAAGCCAAGCTTAAGCCACCCTGACAACACCATCCTGGGTTTGGGTAACGAAGGACTCCGTAGTGGCGTTATGCGTTGTTCAAATTCAGTCATTGCACTGCTGTGAAAACTAGGACCATACTACATTGTTGTGATTACATCACATCACAGTACAGGTGGGACTTTCAAGAGAAAGCAGTACATCAGCATGGTTCTGCCTATTTTAAGATTCTAAGGTATTTTTCTTTCTCACAGCTTCTCAATCACAGGTTGCGCCCAGCCACTTGGAGACACCTTCTGGTGCTACAATCCTCTGCAATAATTGTGGTAATCCATGCAAAGGAGAGGTGCTAAGAGTGCAAAAGAAGTATTTCCATATTAAGTGCTTTGTTTGTAAAGGTAGGTATGTATTACTATCCATGTATTATTATCCATGTTTAATTGTTAACATTTAAGTGGTCTAAAAACACCTCCTGCCATCAGAAAACTCATGAATTCTTAGCAGGAGGCCTTTTTATATCTTTTGGCATGTTTTATTTATGGCGGAATAAATAAAAGACCTCCAAATGCTAAGCAAAAATCTGCCTCAGTAGCAGATAAACCACACAGAACAAATAGGAATCATAAATGTTACAGAACAAATAGGAATCATAAATGTTACGATCTCTCACTTAAAACTAATTAGCAGGCCACACAGTTGCTTTGAAGTATAAGGGGAGTGGAATGTCTTTGCCTGATCTAATCTTCCTCTGAAGCTGACACCAGCTCTGAGTGTGGCAGGAGGCAAACAAGGTATCTCCTTGCAGAACACCATTTCCTCATTCCTCAAAGCAGCCACATAGAAATATTGAGCATTCAGTAAAAGGGGCAGAGGTCATGTGTGCATCATTTAGTGGGGAAAAGGAAGACATTCTGCATTATGTTCTACCCATTCTATGGTCAAGCAGAAACTGGAACAGATGGCTGTAATGAGCAAGTGGGTGCTGGAAGGGATAGTTTTTTTTACTCTTTATGGTATTCAGGTTCAGGGACAAGGGGAGAGATTCTGGCAACCATCACGCCCACCAAAATAGCATTCTGAAAAATTAGATGCCATTACTGTAGAACCAGTCCCGTCTGGTAGGATGCTGTCAGGTACTCTGGGGCTTGGAATGGGGCACTCTTGGGCAGTGCTTGAAGAGCTCTTTCCAAGCACAGAAAGAACAGGGGGTGCAACAGCTGCCTCTGTGAGTAGCAGGCAACAGGAAGCCCTGGATGAATTACCTAGGACCCTTGTCTGTGACAAAGCAGTACCTTCTGCCTGCAGCACTTCTGGCCCTCGCTTCAACTCCAGCTTTGGACATTAGGAATCCTGTGATGGAAATTTTCCAATCCACATTTTTATTCATCTATGGACCCTATGGATCTTGTCAATAGTCTGATCTACCTGTAGCAGCAATTAGCCTTGGGTCCAATGCTTATTTATTCATTTATTTTATCATTTATTTATTTATTTGAATTATGTGCCAGAGGCTCTGGGTGGCTTACCTCATAATAATATCTATGCATCATAAAACAGCATAAAAACAATACAATGCACAACACAACAACTGGCAATTACAAAAGACCAACAATAAAATCCATAACTAAGCATCCCAAATTAAATAACATGAAATAAACAAAATAGGAGTAAAATAATAAATAGAATATAGAAAATCCAAATGAAATTATTTAATGAATCAATTAAAATTAGTCTATATCAATGTCTAGCTTGAGAGCATACTGGCAGCAGCATATAATAGCATAAATTTAAAACCAACATTAAAAATAAAAAATTCACCTGTTAAAGTAACTATGGAACAAATATGTGTTAAGCTGGTGCCTGAAGGCCAAAAGAGTAGGCGCCAACTAAACCTTCACTGGAATCAAATCCCAAAATCGGGGTGCTATTCTTGAAAAAGCCCCCCTCCTTGCAAATTCCCTTCTCAGTTTGTTGTGGGGAGGAATGCTGAAGGCCTTCAGATGAGGACCGCAGTGAACCAGCTGGTACATATGCAAAAAGGTGCTCCCTTAGATAACCTGGTCCCCAGCCATGCAGAAATTTGTATGTTATTGCAAGCAGTTTGAATTGGGCCTGGACTGGAGAGGGAGAGAACCATGCACACACAAACACACACACAGAACCTTTCCCCAAGCTAGAGGCAAGGCCAGCCCCACCCCCTCCGGCCCACATCCCGGAGGGGGTTGCCATTATGCTGCAAGATGGCAGGGTAGCCTCGTGTTTGCCTGCCTCCCCAAGTGCTTCCACCACTCGAGGCAGATGGAAAAGTGGCAGGGAAGCAGCATTCCTGATGGTCGGGGAAGGGGGGTCCAGAGAGTCCTATGGGACTCCAGGGGACTGCAGTCCAGCAGCGTGTGTGGCCAGTGGTGTCAGGCTTTCCCTGTGCAGTTCAGGAGTCACCTGAGCAGTATGCAGAAGAGCTGCTGCTCTGTGTGACAGCCAAGTGATCTTGTGCAAGTCACTCCAATGGATGATGCAAGAACGAGACACCTAACTTGGTCGGCACATGGAGGAACTGCTGTTCCATATATCAGCAAAGTGAAGCTTACACAGCACTTGCTGCCTCCATCAGGAGCTGGATTGGTTTGGAGGGACAAGTGGGCCCCACCCCAAAATTCACTTCAACGCCCCTGCATTATTCCAAGCAAACTAGTACATAAATACAAAAAAACAAACAAAAAAACAAGATTTAAAATGCAAAGACAGTCAAGTCCTTTCCCTCAGTACTTCAGCACATTTTTTGAACCCAGCTTGCTGACATGGTAGGTATAATGTTCTGATGAAACCTCATTCTTGGGGCTCTAATCCTGCACTGCTTATGTACAGGTCATCTGCCTCAGTGATAACTGAGGACAGCATAAGGATCCATGCCAACAGTTGACATTGGTACCAAGATTTCTTAAGCCAGGGATCCATTAATACCTCACATACGCAGCATTAAGGATCTCCTTGTAGGCGCCTCCTGCCAAAAGGCCAACATGAATGAGAGATGCCAGCCCTCTTTTCTTCCTTGGAGAACTTGGGGAAGGAAAGAAGGGAGAGTTCAACAAATGCTGGCAGGTTTGGACAAGTCCAGTGCTTGCTGCTATTTCTCCCACCACCACAAGACATCCCCAGACACTTTAACTTTGGTGCAATTCAGGTAGGTAGAAATCCCCAAAACATAGTGAAGTAGGCAAAATTCCTGCAGAGGTAGCCAAAATGCAAACAAACAGAAGGCTTTTTCCTGTCAAATGGCTGGCAGATGGTTGTGTTTTGTCTGGTTGCCCTTGGTACATTTGGCTGCAAAACATAAGCAGTTCAAGTTACTGATCTTTGTGAGTGAAGGTGAAAGTGTCATTTCCTTTTGCACCTGTTCATGATTTTGGAAAGAGGAATTATCTGAACTGTTTGGGCTGCTGCACAAAGAAGCATCAAAATACACTTCCATATTATGGCTGGAGTGCAGAATCTTCATGACTTGATAATTACATTTTAGTTGGATCCACACAACACTGTCATCCATGTGTAATCCTCCCATGTTTTCTCAGTGTAGCTTCTGGTTTTGTTTTGCTTTAGTTTTATGCGAGCACAGATGGACCTGTTGCATCTGAGCAAGCCTTCAATCTTTGTAGTAGGCATCAGGGTATAATCTGCATAATGTTTAATCCTTATTTTACTTAGCACTAAATCACTTTTTGACAATATGTTTAAATTATTAAAAGATTAACAACTGCTGCCTAAATGAACATTGAAAATATAATTGAAAATTTAGAACAACATTCCAAGCACTTACCATTGCAGTAACATAGCTTTTTCTTCATACCTCCAAGTTATACTTCCAAGTTGAAAACAAATACTAAACACGTGTGCTTTTGTTTTTGTTTGTACATTTCATGGCTACTAATTTAGTCGTGCTCAAATTACTTGCAGCATTAAATAAATAATAGAGCATTCATGTACTCATCTAGCTCATAGGATGCACTTTCATGAATACAGTGTCCAGCTGGCAAAAGGCAGGAGGAGCAGTGCAGGCATTTTTGCTCCTATTCTCCTTTGAAAAGTATGTGAACTAGATGAGCCATGAGGCCATATATGTTGCTCACCTGGTAGTGGGCTGGGGCAGGAAGGAGAGGTCCGTGGATCCAACAGTTCCATAGTCTTTCCACTCACCTCTCCACCCTCTGGGTTGCCACATTTGCACCCTCCTCATCCCAGGTTGCAATAGCAGCCTGGGAAGAGGAGTTGCTGTGATGGAGCAGAGTGGGGAAGCTGAAGGGCAATTAACCTAAGGATTCACTTTAAGAAATATTCTGAACAAAATGAATTACAGAGCAGTTCTATGTTCCTGTGAAGGCTTCCCAGGGATCATAAAATAAGGTGGACTGATCTCTCCTCCAAAGCCATACACCACACCCCGTTCTTCTTCGTGGTCTCTGGGCATCATATATTTGGGTGCTGCACTTGCACAGCAGCTTCATTTGGGAAGATTCTCCTAGCTAAGCATAGCATTTTTGGTGGGAGCCCCACCCCTTTCCCTAGTATAAATAGGCAGGGCTCCTGCCATTTTCCCCAGTTCACTTTTGATTGCTGTTTTGAGTGCCTCAGGACTTTCCCAACTGCATATTTCAATACTTCACCTCATATTTTTCTTATCTTTTTCTCATAACTTTGCTTAGCAAATTTTTCTTCTTGATTACCTCTTAACTTTTTACCTCACATTTTCCTTCACCCTTTTCTCACAAAGACCAAACAAAACACTTCTTTTTCTCTTCTTTCATGCTCAATGGCTCTCAAGGCGGCCTTCAGAAGGTGTGTAAGATACAAAGTGAAAATGCCATCCTTGGATGGACATTCATTGTACTTCTTTTGTCTTGGTGAAGAAAACCAAGTGGACACCTGCTCACATTGCCATTCTTTTACTAAACAAGCCAGGAAGAACAGGGCAGGCCATCTGAAGACGGAGATGTGCACCAGGGGTCATGTGGAGATGCAAACTGTTGTGGGAGAACCACGAGAAGGCCCACTGATGTCTTGGGCAGCCCTGTCTGCGGCCACAGGGGTTCTACCAACTGCTCTGTCGGTGCCTGGAAAATCTAAAAATGCACTGGGTGGTAAAAGGCCTTTAAAAAAGACAGATGCAGTGAGTCCATTTGACTTTCCCACCAGTAGTCCTGGCAATCATTTCAGTTCTGTCCCTGCAACCAGTCCCTGCCTCACTGACCACTCCAACTGTTCTAACATCGGTCCAACTGCAGCAAAGATCCAAACCGACCACAGCTCCCCCCGTTTCTGAAGGGAAAAATGGGACTTACCTCCCCAGTCTCCAGCTTCTCAGATCACATCTCCCAACCTGTCCGATGAACACATCGCACCAGGA